GGCGCCCCTGCCTTGATACTCGACTCATCTATAGGGGTCTGAAGTGTCCCGCAACCTGTGAAATTCAGACAGACTCCTGCACTTCCTCAACCAAGCAAACTTTTTTTTAACTTAACCCAGCTCCCAAAAACTAATGATATTTGCATGTTTTTACTGCTGTATTATTCTGAATACAGCTTGCGATAGGTATCACAAAGTGCAGCGAAGTATAAATGGATGTGTTTCGTAAGCTCATTTAACCAATCTTTCGGAAGTGCCCTCTTTCAATTTGTGCCCCCTGTTATCATGGTGGTGGTGCTGGCAGGTGGTGATTGCGGTGGTGGTGTTTGTGGTCATCAGTGGTGTCAGTCATTTGTGATGGTTGATGTGGTGGTGAAGTAGAAGTCATTCAATTAAATCAGATTAAATTATTACTTCGATTACATTAATGTGAATTAAAGTTGCACATGGAACTATACTAGTTGAAGTTATAGCTCGCACTACGTTGGGGTCATTGGGGTCAGGATGCACAAATAGTCACCCTTGCTCAAATACTATTAAGGTGATAGAGATAGGACGATTGTCGCTTATAACAAATGGATAATAAATGGTATAAAGTCAACTTTAAATTATTGTACACCATTTTTTCATATTAATTAATTGGATCCTTTAGAAGAAGTGATCGTCAGACGAGTTGAGAAGGCCACCGTTCCAGAATTAACGCCAGAAATCCAGGTAGGCCGTTTATGAATTCTAAATCCGTTCATGGACTCTATGACTGAGAATCCGAAAACTTCAAACTTCATTTCCGCCTGTACTTCGCTTGACGATGCATGCGCTGGCGTATGCTGAATGTTATGCTGCATTTTTTGAACAGATCTTCAATTCCCGATAGTTTTCGGTAACAGCCACGCTGTAGAGAAAATGCAGCGTTTTTTTTGTTGTTTTTTTTGTTTTTTTTGGAGCAAGGCTTAACTGGCATCAGACGCAACCACAGCCGCAAGCTGGTGTTGATGCAAATAAAGAAAACGAAAGATGTCCATTCCATTTAATTTAACTGTAATTTCTGTCTATTGTGAGCAAAATGAGCTGCGTTAGGCATGTGAGCTGCTAATTCATGGCTTAACCTTTTAGGCAGCGGTAACTTCTTGAGTTAAAAAGCTATGTTTTCACTCCCACACACTCAAAAGTAAGGGGACCTAATCTATCGACGAATACGATGGCCCTACTGACTATGTGAACCAATGACGTAAGGGTGGTTATGGTTTTGATTGTGTTGGTCTGTAAAAACGTCATAATATAGTAACTCTGTTTCTTTCTAATTCTTTACTTAAGGCTGTCGTCCCCAAAAAGGTGAAGGAGTGAAGGTTCGACGACCCTATGTACTTGATCATTTTAAATCGTATTCCACGCCTGATTTCAGCTCGACGGGTAAGTAAACGGCATGACAAGTTCATTCAAATGCTAATAGGACAATAGTATATTAGAATTGACTATGCATTTTTATTGTTGGTGCCACACAGTAGTGTTGGGTCTGAGATATATCTGGCCTTAAAAACAAAGGGTTTTACAGTATATCCAAAGTACACAGGGTTATCGCGAGCAGCAACAAAATGTGGCTTGCAGGTTACACTTTGCCCACGTGTGAGTCGTTGAATTAACATCCTACAGTACCTTATAAGGTGTCTTCATGACACATTCGACGCTGTCAATTACCAATTCAATGATTGCCAAGTGTTAATGTGTGTTGGTGTATTCACGTGACAAGTGGTAGGCCTAGATTGTATTCATAATCTCTGTTCAATTATGATTATAATATTTCTGTTTTATATGTATTTTTCTACTGTACTAATCAAGAGTGTTAAAAAAAAAAATTATGTTGTATGTACATAGGATTGTATTCAGCGATGCCACGTGTTCTTCTGCTTGTGGTTGGTGAGGAAATCATTGAAAGTCCAATGGCATGGAGATGTCTTTTCTTTGAGTATGGTGCATACCGCCGTTTGATGAAAGAATATTTCAGAGAGGGCGCCAAGTGGACAACAGCCCCTAAACCACAAATGAGCGATGAGCTTTATGACATGGTAGGTACTATAATATGATGTTTTGCATTAGGCTTTACAGTAGATGTTTCTATAAAGAGCCTTTCAATTTAACATTTTCTTCTAATAAAAATTGTTAAATGTGGCGTGGTGTTGCAGTTTCACTGTTAACCAATGCGCCATCATGTAGTTACACTGCACATGTTACCAGTGGTGGCGCCAGAAATTGGCCGACTATGGATCTGACATGTTCGACGGAGGGGTCCTAGCAGGAGCGACAAACCCTCAGTCGACGGCCGGAATAGAAACTCACTTGTAGGGTTCATGGGGAGAGTTTTTATGGCTTAGTATGGTACAAAATGTGCTTTTAGACCACAATATTAGGGATTGGCATTCAAAATAACGTCATTTGGATAGACAAATAATTTATATATTTTTGATCTGACGACTTAGTCGCGTGCGTCGGACGATAGGGGATTTAGGCCTGTCCGACGGGGGAAAATTCCCCCTGTCCCTGCTCACTCCACTCCAAGGATGTCAAATGACAAGTGGCAGAAACAAATTTTGTTTATGGAATCAGAAGTACTACAAACAATTGGAAAAAAAAATCATAGAGATGATATGGAAAAAGCAGTTCTATCACTAATGCAGGATCGTTAGGAAAAAAGGTAAAAGAGAAAGCGAAACTGCCCAAAGAAGCAGACTTTTGGGGTATAAAATGATGATGATAATCTGTCTATACTGAGGAATTTCTTCAAGGTCTTTCTCTTTATTTCTTTCTGTGCAAAGAGTTCTTGGTACTTGTCTAAATGTCTCTTTCACTTTCCC